AAGTCTTTCTTAATAATTAGAGGAAGAGGTGAAAAGGAATGTTAAGAGAAAACATAGAACTTTCACTCATGAGACACTTACAGATGCCAGGAAGCCACCATCCCTCCGCTTACCTCTCTGTTCCCCAGGGAGAGATGCAGCCTATGTCAGTTTGATTCTTAAGGAGCTTTGTGTTTGTTCAGCAATTGTTGGTCTCACTCGGGGACATTTTCACTTTCTATTATAAAAAAAAAAAAGCACACCAAAGACTTTAAACGATCAAAACACCTAGGCCACCAAACCACAGACCCTAGAACAACGAGCTTCAGGGAAAGCACCCGCCATGCGGCCAACTCTCACCCTTCCTCCTGTTCACGGGAGCAGGTCTTCCATACAAATGAATTATTCAGCTAACAAAATTGTATGGGACTTCCACATTTTAAAGCACATTGACCTCTCTGAAGGTCAAATCTTACAAATCTTTCCGCCCTCCTGTGCAAGGATGCTGGGTGTCAGGGCACCTGTCCTTGGCAGCTCAGGGCTGTCAATTTGCACAACAATCGCACTGTGCTGTAACACAGCTATGATGTCAGGGCCCCACCACCACCCCATGCAGGGACATCAGTCTTGCCTGCAATGGCCCCAGAACATGATCTTTTTGTGCTTGTGTTTGGGCCTTTCCTTTTGCTATATCTACTTTTACAGTTGTTTTGGAGCATGTGACCCTCCAGGGATGTGACCTGCTCAGGACAACAGAGGATAAGAGAGTTCCCCAAGGCCTTCGCCGCGAATGGCGGAAAAGCCTAGGTATGGCAGAAAGAGCTTGAAATATGGGGTGCTGCTGTCCTCAGCCCTGAGTGGGGGAGACTGTGGGAGGACTCTGGGGGGAAGGAAGAAGGGCAAAGAAGGGCCCAGGTCAGCTGGCCAGGACCAGGCAAGGACAGAGCAAGCTGCAGATCACCTAAGTATCCCAGACACTCCAGCATTTTGGTCAAAACAATGGCGCCAGTTGGGTGTGGCTGGGCCCAGGGACAGCTCAGGGTGCAGATGCCACACACTCCCCATCCTGGATACCTGGGGTTGCACAGACAGAAGGTAATGGGGACTTCTGGAAGCTGGGCTCCCGTAGATGCGTGGCGGCACTGTCTCTGCCAATGAAACACGGACATAAGGGCCACAGTAGAGTCACCTTTCACATCCTTGTGTCTTTACTTCAGGGACCCAGATCCCAATACCAGCCCCGTGAACACTAGGCCATCAGATGTACACACTCATCGGCGGGCATCTGAATGGAGAAACCCCCTCTTTCTTCCCAACGTGCTACCCTACAACACTCTGAAGCCTGAAGCATGGGGACTCAGGATTGCTGGAATTCTATCAAGGAGACAGAGAAAGCTGGCAACAAGAGTCTGCCGGGAGGAGAACCCTCAGCTTCACACTGAGGCATGAGGGCGCTGGAGCCACACGGTGAGGACACTGGCTGTGTGCTCCCACATCCTGGAGAAAATGACTGAGTCTTGCCTCTGAAGTACCCTTCTGCGCAGAGTGGAGAAAATCGTACCCCTGAGACCTAATACTGTCAACCCATGCAACCAGCAGAATTGGATTAAAATGACACAGCATGACTTCCAAGGTAAGACACAGCAAACACTGCCTTCACCTCCTGGATCACTCATGCTGGGGGAAGTCAGTCGGCATATTGTGAGGTCACTCAAGCAGCCCCATGGGGAGGGCCACACGGCAAGGAACTGAGGCCTCCTGCCCATAGCCAGCACCAATCTGTCAAACATGAGAGCAGCTACCTTGGAAGTGGGCCATTCAGCCCCAGTCAAACCCTCAGGAGAGACTGCAGCCCTGACATCTTGCCTACAACCTCACAAGCAGTCCCTGGCTACAGCCAGTACCCAACTGCTTCTAGATTCCTGAACCTTGGACATTGTGTGAAGATGAAAGTTTACTGTTGGTGTAAGCCATTAAATCTGGTGTAACTTACAACACAGTGGTAGACGATTCATAACCCTGCCCTTCCAGGGATGATTTCATGGCCCTGGAGCTGGCTACACTCGAGTTTAAAAAGCATCTTTGGAAAGCCTGGCATTTGCCCTTTTCTAGTTACCTAAGAGCTTACTGAGACCTACAGACTGTGCACCGCAGAGTGGTGATTAAGGGCTAGGTGGACTTTGAGTACAGCTCTGCGGTTCACTAACTGTGACCTTGGGCAAATTTCTCCATCTATAAAATGGGGGTGATAATAGCAGTACTGACCACATAGAGTCATTGTGAGGATAAGTTAGTGCACACAGCCGGAGCCAGGAGATTTAGTGGCCGCCATGCGGCAGGCAGTGTGCTCGGGGCTGGGGGTGCATCAAGGACCAGAGCAAGCAGAAGTGTATACTCACAGGGCTTATTATTCTGTAGTAAGGGTGCAAGTTCAAGACAGAAGAATGAAGTAGGGGATCTTAGGGCATGAGTGTCAGGAAGGCCACACTGGGAAGGTGGCATTTGAGCAAAGTCTCAAAAAGTGCTGTGGAAGGTACCCCAAGACATCTAGAGGAAGAGGGATCCAGGCATAGAGAATGGCCTGTGCAAAGGCCTCGAGGTTGGAACATCCCCAAGACCCTAGACGACCAGGTAGGAGGCCAGCACAGCTTTCACTGTGTCCACGTGGGAGAAAGCAGCCGCAGAGGCCTGGAAGGCTGTAGGAGGAGAGCTGGTCAAAGCCCTTGAAACAACCTTGGCTTTTATTCTGAGTGACATGAGTAGCCCTTGGAAAGTTCTGGGCAGTGGAATGAGAGCATCTGACCCGCATTTTAACAGGGTTGTCTGGCTCCTGATCTGAGACCAGGCTGCTGGAGGCAGGGAGGCCCTCGCCGGGCAGCTCTTGCAATGCTTCCACTGGGAAAGGGCAGAGGCCAGGACCAGGGTGCCGTGGTGGTGACAACAGTCAGGTCTGGAGTGTGTGTCACAGGTCCAATTGCCCTCATTTGCAAGTGGAGTGAGACAGAGGGGAGTCAGAGATGAGCAACTATTGGTACCAACTTGCCGTCATAAGGAAAGGCCTATGTCAGAGGCCCATGGACATGGGATGGAACTCAGGACAGACACGGTTGCAGATGGGCACAGGAGTCGCCAAGTTCCTGAAGGTATCTGGAGTCATGACAGGTGAAATGGTCTGGTTAGCACTTCTTGCAGGTGACCTAAGAGTGGCCTGCAGCTTCCCTGGGTGTCCTGCTGATCTCACTGATCCCACTGATCCTGTGTAGACCTCAAGCCTCCACCCACATGATACAGCAACAAAGAGCCGGCCAGTGCTGGGGTCATGGGTGAATAAACAGCCTGACGTGGGCCGCTGAGTTTCTGGAAGCCAAACTCATCCCGTGTCTGGCTCCCTGGCACCTGGGTTTCCCAGGCAGCACCCAGGACACACTTTGTAGACAATTCTTAACAGATTTGGAAATCAGAGTTTGGTAAAGGGGGTGGGTGGCTCTGTGAGCTGAGCAGGCACTTAGGCAGAACAATCTGCCCATCTCGGTAACAGAAACACGCAGGGTAAACTTAGATATTAATTTTGTGTATAATGTTCTACTCAGCGAGGCCTCCGGACCAGAAAATTGGGCTAGGCCATGGCTGGTCTTCCCGCTCCAGGTCTGTGACACCCACGTCCAGCAGTGTGGCCTCCAGATAAGATGCTCTGAGCACAGCAGACTGACGTGCATGCTGGCCTTGCTCCTGGAATTGTCCTCCCCGCAAGGTGACAGCAGTGATGCCAAGGCCAGATGGCCTCAGTGACACGAAAGCCTGTGTAGCAACTGTCCTCCCAGCCTGCTTAGCTGGGGAAATCTCCTTTATTAAAAACTAATACCTCTTATACACTCCTGAGAGGAGTTACTGAGAAATAAGCAAGTAAAACTTATGAAAAATACAAAAAAAAAAACCCACTAATCATCTCTGACCCTGCCATGCAGGTCGGCTCCTGCAGAGGGAGGAGTGGGCTTCACCTGTGGCTGAGCACACACAGACAGGCCTGGGAGCCTGTGGGAGGCAGCAACAGCCACAGTCTCACATTTGCTGGGCACCCAAAAGAGGAACCTATAGCCCTGCTCAGAGATGTCCAGACAAGAAACAAATCAAATGGAAGAAAAACCCTCAGCCAATTGATAAGAGGCAGACCCAAGATTTGAACCTTGAGTTCTCCTACAAAATCAGTTTAGGAAGCCCTTCTCCCATCAAGGTAGGACGGTAATAACAATTACATTCAGTTTTCAAATGAGGAAGCTGAGGTGCAGAGAGGGTACATCACCTCCTCAAGGCCACACAGCTATTGAACAGTGGAGTTAGAATTCAAAGGCGGGCAGGGGCCACAGATCTTAGCTTATAACCACCATGCCCCAGCCTCCAAAAAATTAATTTCCTCAATGTCTGGAAAGAAAAGGAGGGGTCAGCTCTGCTCAGCACCATCCAGGGAAGGTACCATGGGGGTAGGCTAGCACCGCAGCTCCACCTTATGCAAGTTCAAGACAGAGTATCTTGGGGTCAGGGCCACATCAAATCACTTGTGTGATGTACATGGAATTCGGATGCCTGAGACCCTTTAGGCCTATGTTCTCAGGTGGGTAGGGTGGACACCAGCGTTTGGAAATCTGGCTACAGTCAGGCTGGGCCAGCAGCTGGCTCTGTTAACCAGTTCCAACTTGAAGCAACCCTGGTGTCCACTGCCTGGCCTCCCTGCCCTGGCCCTGGGCTCACTGCTGGTTCTGTCACTAGTTTTTCCACATGCCGTCTTCCTGGCTTCTCTGCTCACTTGCTGGGGACAGGCAAGGTTTCCTCCCTTTGGCAAATAGAGCAGACTCCCCACACCCAGCCCCACAACAGCCCCAGAAAAGGGCTGACTTGGGGCAGGGAGGTGGTAACTCTCACCCAAATCCTCAAGTGGGTGCCCCACACTTTGATGCTGCACCCACACATCTAATCACATGCTTCTTGGGCTTCAGAGCCCTCATGAGACAGAAACCACAGAGTCATTTAATTTAACAGGGCAAGTTTAATGTCAAGATTAACTCTACTAGAAGAATACTGTTTTAAAAGAGTTTTACAGAAGCCCTGGGCTTGAGGGAAGAAAACACTCCAGAGGAGGTTCCCTCTCTGAGCTTGGAATACATCTCGCGGGAAAGGCCTGGCAAGGCCCCCTGGATGACATTTTCTGGGTTGCTGGAGTCAGAGTCCGCGCACACACATGCAAGCAGGAGACAGCTCTAAGGAGGGCAGATGGGCCGAGGCTGCTGGAGCTGAAAGGTGATCCCTGATAACTGGTGCACCCTGTATATACCATGTCAACTCTATTTAGCAAGAATAAGTACAGTCGTAGTCACAGGGAGCTGGAAGACATCCTGGTAAGTGTCACATACTAATTTGGGCAGTGGAGCAGCTTGGGCTCACAATACAAAGAAACTCTGTTCCCAAAGGGCTATTAAAGGACACTGAATGGAGAAATCAATCTCTGCTGGTAAAAAGGCAGTTGGTGTAACTCCCCTTAGGACAAGAGGAAAGAAAAGAGCACCCTTAGTTACTGGACACCTGCTAGGTGCCAGATCCTTTCCATTTCACAGAAGAGTAAACTGAGGCTCCTAGACGGTGGAGCTGCGCCGCTTGCCTCCCTTCCATGGTACTGGCTGAATATGCTCTTTACAGCCCCCCGGGGCTTCCTCTGGGGATGGTCCCTTAGAAGAGTCCCGGCAGCAGGCGGTAGGGCACCGCGGCAATATAGCGCTCCCAGTCCTTGCCATACTTGCTGGCACAGCGGTGCTCGTCCCGCAGGCAGCGGTGGATTAGCAGGATGGCCATGTAGATGATGTAGAAGTAGGGCAAGAGGTGGCCGCCCCCGCAGGCCAGGCAGTAGGCCAAGCTGCCCATCAGGTCGCCGGTGTAGTTGAAGTGGCGGGCCAGGCCCCAAAAGCCCGACACCAGGAGCTTGCTGTGGTGCTTCTGGCCATCAGCAGACACGTACGAGCACTCAATGGCCTTGGGCTTCCTGCCCCAGATGAGGCAGCGGCCATCTGTGCGCCGAAACAGGTCCTTCTGGTGGTTGGCCATGCGGAAGATGTAGTAGCCCAGCAGGCCCAGCAGCAGGACGCCCGTGGCATGTGCAGGAGAGAGCTGCACGGGGTGGTAGACCAAGTACAGACCCTGGGGGCCAAGAGGGACGGCGTCACACGGTGCCTCCTGGGAGAGCAGGCAGGTGCCCAGATGCCCGGGACAAAGCCTGGCCCTGCCTCTGAGACACCGTGCCTCGGCTTCCTCTTCTGTAAAAGCACCTACTCCAACAGTTACTGTGGGTCTCCAAAGACTAAACCCACCTGCCTGTCTACCTCTGTATGTGTACACACACACATTCACATCCTATGTAGGGAAAATATAAAATACGCAACATAATAAAACTTGAACGTGATGGTCAGTTTTGAGTGCCAACGTGGTGAGGTCACTATACTCAGATGTCTGGTCAAACACTATTTGTAAGGAAGGTATTTTTAGAGGAGAGAACACCGAATCAGCAGACTAAATCAGCCCTCTGCAAGGTGGGTGGGCCTCGTCCAGTCACCTGACGGCCTTAAAAGACCAACTTCCCCTAAAGCAGAGGGAATTCTGCCATAGCAGGCCTCCCACACCGGCGGCACCAGCATTTCCCTGTGCCCACAGGCTGTCCTGAAGAGTCTGAACTTGCCAGGCAGGTTCTTTCTCTTACACACACGCACAGATTCTACTTCTCTTTTGGCTTCATTCCAAAACCCTATTACATATATATTATAATATAGAAAAAAATGCGTACATACACATGACATGCACACGGAGGCTAAAACAAGGGCTGGCACACAGCAAGAGCTACATAAATGAGATCTGCTGTTAGATTCACAGGCCTGGGCAGTTCACAGAGCCCGAGGGCCTGCAGTGGCCAGGCTGGGAAATGAGCACCAACAGTTGGCATGAGCGTGAGGCTAGAACACGGGGCTCTTCCCCTTGGCTGGGCACACTGCTGGAAGCGTCCTGTTCCTCCAGGGCCCTCACACAGGAGGTGAGCTCCCCATCCTCAGCCTGCACCACCGTCATCCACAGACTCGCTATGACACCTAGTACTTCACTGGCCATGACCCAAATGCTGACAGAGCCTTTCCACACGGTTCTCTCCAATCCTGACTGACTCCATTGTGCTGCCCACTAAGCCAGTGCCCTGGGGTGTGCCCTTTCTGGGTCAGCCTCCACACTGCTGGAGGCAGCAGGTGGCATCTGTTAGGGTTCCCAAGCATCTGCCTCGCATGGGCACCCAGTACACCCCTGGATCAAAACAGAGCTGCTCCCAGGTGGGCTACAAACCCTAGCCCATGGCCTGTGTCTACTGGGTCACCTGAGGACTGAATTGCAGAGGCTCCCCCTAGACCAGACCCACCTTCTGAAGGGCTCCCCACCTGCCTTGCCCCCTCCTCACCTGTAGCGTGTACAGGTATGGCAGCCAGACACAGTCTCCCCAGCCCAGGTACCACCCAAAGTGGTCATGGCAGATGTCCATGGTTTTCAGATACCAGGTCTCATTCCAGAAGAAGTCCAGCACATAGATGGCCTGTAAGACAGGGGCAGCCACTGACCAACCCTGCTCTCCTGGATCACAGACAGGACCTTCCTGCCATGCCCAGGACATGGGAGGGCCAAGGGTAGTGGGGAGTACAGGAGTCTTTATCCTTACTCCCCCAAGCCTATGGCCCTGGGGGTTACATCCAGGCCAAGCTCTTGGTGCCTGGAATGGAGTCTGCAGAAGAAAGGGGTGCATTCATCCCCATCCCACCTACCCTCTTGTCCTTGCCACCCCAGAGGTGTCCAGGGCCTTCTTCACCACATAGGGCCCTTCCACCCAGCTCTCCTCTCAGCTCCCTGGGGGCCTTCTGAACACACCTGATCTCTGCCACCCTCCACCCCTGCTCAGCACATGTGTGCAGGGCCTTGCTGCTTTCAAGATAAAGATTCCCTAAGGCCCACAGAGCCCAGCCGATGCAGCCCTATCCATCTCCAACCCCACCTGGCTCTGGGCTCTGAACATGCTCTGCTTAGGACTTAGGACATTCCTCAGTCTCCCTCCACAGGGACTCTGCATGCGCCATTCCTTCCACCTAGAGCACCCCCTCCTGCCTCCATAGTACCAGGTCAATGCCTACTCATTCCAGATCCCACCCGAGTGCTATCCCCATGGAAGGCCTTCCCAGGCCAGGTGGCTTTTGGATTTTCTCAGGGCCCAGCAAGCGCCAGCAGGTACCTGCAGGACGTTGACCAACACCATGGAGTTGGTCACATGGCCGTAGAGCTCCTGCTGCTTAGCCGCAAAGGACAGGTTGATGAGTGTCCAGGCGACAATCCCGGGACGGCCGTTGAAAAACAGCTTGAAGTCAAACCACTTCCCAATTCGGGGGTTAAACTCAATGCCCATCATGTAGTTGTAAAAGAAATTCCCTGTGAATTTGCTAAAAATATAAATCGAAGATATATTCAGTGGGTAAGCACTTCTCACAGCACATACACGCTCAGCAAGGCCTGGGGTCCCGACAGCTTGTGTGAGCCACCAGGACCCACGTGGCTGGCTCCCCAACACCCTAATTTTTTCTCACTTTCAGTGGTCAGTAGAGATATCCTTAGCCAGATGTGAGCCCTGAGGATGCCACTCTACTCTGGGGAAGGAGGGAGACTTCGGGTGCCGCACGTGGCACGGGGAGCTAGAGAACTGGCTCTGTGGGCTAAACATTTCTGCTAGAGCCCACACACGTGGTATGAAGTAGACTTGGGGCATCTGGGCCCCTCCTGGCCCCCCGTGATGTTATAAATTATGCCAAAGTAGAGAATGAAGAAAAGCATCCCGTCCAAAGCCACATGCTTGCTGTACACACATAGGGATTTCTGGGTTAGAAAATCCTATTTTCAAGTCCAGTTCCTTCAGTTAGGCTAAAGAGACAGAAGCAAAACACGTGGTCTAAAACTGATGTGATCACAAGGGGTGATCACGAGGCTCCCACAGCCATGGGGAGAAGGCCAGCCTCATTATTTATAACATACGAGCTAGAAAGTATCATCCTCCGAAGACATTTCCCAAGAGCCTAGGTGTAAAAGAGGAAATATACTTTGTTTTGGGTCTTCTGGACTAAATTGCAAGCTCCACTGCCTACAACTATCTATAAGAAAACCACCAAACATCAGTGGGTGGATTGATGGATGGACAGAAGGGTAAGTAGGTGGACAGGTAGATGGGAAAACGGGTGGGTAGATGAGTGGGTTGATGGATGGATGAGAGGGTGAGCGTGCAGATGGATGAATGGATGGGGAGATGGATGGATGGATGGATGGATGGATGGATGGGATAGGATGAGTGGGTAGATGGAGAGATGAGAGGGTGGGTGTGCAGATGGATGAATGAATGGGATAGGATGAGTGGGT